GATGATGATGATGATGATGATGATGATGATGATGATGATGATGATGATGATGATGGATGATGGATGATGGATGATGGATGATTGACGGTTGACGGTTGACGGTTGACGGTTGACGGTTGATGGTTGATGGTTGATGATGATGATGATGATGATGATGAGGATGAGGATGATGATGATGATTGATGATTGATGATTGATGATTGATGAATGACGATTGATGGCTGATGGTTGATGGTTAAATGATGATGATGATGATGATGATGATGATGATGATGACGATTATTAATTGACAATTGATGATTGATGATGATGATGGTGATGATGATTGACGATTGACGATTGACGATTGACGATTGATGATGATGATGATGATGATGGTGGTGGTGGTGATGATGATGATGATGATTACTATTAATTGATGATTTATGATTTATGATTGATGATGATGATGATGATGATGATGATGGATAATGGATGATTGACGATTGACGATTGATGATTGATGATGGTGATGATGACTCATGAGATGTTGAACCCCCATATCAGAATCGCATTTAATTACATTTATTTACATGGTTTACATGTGTTTTTTCGCCAGCAGTCAATATTCGTGGGCAGTGGGTGCACTAACTTGTGAACAAAAAAAGTGCTCCTGGGGTGTTTTGAAGATGTTGCTTTGATGGAACCTCAGTCTGCCCCAGATCTTAGGAGCGTTTTTTGCAGGTGGTAAAAAAAAAACAGCATCGAGGTTCATGTTCAAAGCAGGGTCCCATGGGTTCATATGATATGGGTCCAATGGCTTGCTGTGAAACTTCTATTCTTTGAATCCCTTGGCCCTTCTCCTTGAGGAGAAGCACTTGCATGATGCCTTTCCACGGAAAAGGCGCTGTTTTTTTTGCTGACAGGGAGTTTGGAGTTTGTGCTTCACATTGATCAAACATGCCATACCATACTAAACTGAGTAGGTAGAAAGAGCTCATGTTTGACGAGTTTTTTATTTTCTTGGCATGTTTCAACGGAGTAGGGATGACGGGGCATGGATTTTCATGAAGCTCAGTTCATTTTGATGCTGCATTCCTCGCATTGGGTATCACATGCGTTCACTGCATGTTCGAGGCAAACACCTTGGGAGAAGGCAACTGTGAATCTCGATGCCATGCACGGCTCCTTTTCGAGTGCGTCTTTGCCCCTCCCTGGGACAGAGGTGCCTTGGACTGGGTTGGGTCGTTTTCGCCAGTGAGTTCTTGCTAGCAAACGAACTCATTCCTAACTCCATATTAGCCAAAATCGTCCTGCGGATGGACGTTAAAAGGTTGATCAATAGATGGGATACCAGAGTGTACAACTATTTTAGGTACCTGTAGCCTCCCACCAAAGCTTCCGCTTCTTCGTCCGCTGAACGCTGAGGTGAAGACCCTTCGCCCTTCAGCGCTGCTCCCCTCCAGTAGCGCCCCGGAGCTGCATGAGCTCTCGCAGCGCGGTCCACCGCGGTCCACCGCGCCCTCGGTCCGTAGTGGCCATGCACGGTCGCAGCGGTCGGGCCGTTCCCAGCGATCTGGGAGTCTTGGATGAACTGAGTGAAAAAGTGGTGGAAGAAACATCTGAGCTGCAACACAACACCTCGTAGAACATCAGAACTTGTTCAAAAGACTGAGTAGGTGAGAACCCTTACGAAATCAGGCATTGGGAAAGTCAAACCCATTGGCGCAGATGCTGGTAAAAATCCCAACCATGTCGGAATCCATAATCCGCTGGTAGTCAGCCTTTGTTCTTTGAAGTGACATTGAACCTTCCTGCACTCTTCAACTGAAGTGCCATGAACTGACCCCCCATGTCATTTGCCCCTCAGGTCCATTGCCAGCTCGCGCGCGGCAAGCCACTCGGCCTACCGCGCCGTGTCCCAGCGCGAGGCGACGCCCTTTGCGGCGGTGGCGCCGCCCGCGCCGGCTGCAGTGCCAGGGTCACCGGCGAAGTCCTCAGCCTATGCTCGCTGAGAGGGCCAGCAGAGGTTATTTTGTTGCAGGATGACGCTCGGCAAATAGATGTTCACGTGTATGTTCAACTGGAATTGATGGGCTAACAAGTGCGTCACAGAAGCAGTGTTTTTCCTGCATGTTGAAGCTTCAGGTTTATAATTTATAGGTGCAGTATGTTGATTGTATGATTTTGAGAGTGCCGGGAGTCAAGCAGAATAAACATCGCCTCAGAGGATGCTGATGAAGCAGCCGACTCTTGCGTGTCAGCATGCAGGGTGGAACCCCTGGTAGGGGCTGGAAACAGTTTATATATTATTTTATGTTGTGTTCGCTTTGCTAAATTGAAGCTTATCTTCTAAGCCTTACTAAGCCGATCCCAAACATAGATGATTTCTTGCAACAGAACGTATTGAAGGGCGGCAGGGCGGCAGTAGGTGGCTTTTGATCAGTGAAGGCCGCCTGGCCAGGCTCGGTGTTTTCACCCTCCGTTTCACCCCTTTCACCCCTCCGTTTCACCGGTGTCTCGTTTCAACGCTGTGGATGAAGAGCGAAAACGCGTCCGAAGAAAGCCTGGCGGATGGCCTGGTGGATGGCTGGAAGGCCGGTGGCATCGGTCTATCAAGCAGATGCTGTGCCCAAATGTGAGGCTGAGTGTGGTTAGGACAAGTGCTTAATGACAAGCACAATTGTACCCACAAAACGGAAGCTAAGGGTTTTTTCATGGTCATTGATTTGCAAAGCCCCAGAGCAGTTGGGACCAACTGCGCCTTAGAGGCCAACTGCTTCATGGGTGAGGCCATTGACCACTCTCCTGGGGCCGACCACTCTCCGCTTCATCTTCCGCCAAGCCTCCTGGGTGAGGTTTCTCTCTCCAGGGCCTTGGCAACCTTGCGCCGCTGGGCGGATGGTGGACCGGACCGTTGGGGTGGTGGGGTGTGGCCGTGGCGGTTCCGGCATGGATCGAAGCAGGGCTGGACACCTGGGATGACCGCGTGTGAATGGGAGAGTGTGCTTTGAACAAAGGGGAGAATGAGAAGGTGACATGTTCAATGATCCAAAAGCTGAGCTACTCCAGGCATGTCAAACTATCATAGTAATTGATATGACTAATAATTAAGCTAGACTCTTGGGCTGTTCCTTCGGGGGTCGCCAGAAGCTTCGGCCATTCAAGGGGGTCGCTTCACGTTCGAACGAGCAAGCCGGTACAAGCTTCACCGAAAGCGGAGCAGATCAAGAGTCCTTGCCATTCACGACAACAGCCCCAGTCCTAGACAAGTGAAGTCTACTCCAAGACCCTGCCAATCTTTGAGCAACTTGTTGAGCACTTCTTGCAATTTTTAGTGTTCAGGTGTCCAGGGTATTGGGCTTTGGAGTCCAGTGGTGCTAGGCTACAGCAACAAGGGCCATGTGGGAAAGATGAAAAGGACTTTGGAAAGAGCCCCTTATTTTAAAAAAACAGTCATCCCAGCTGGATCCCGCCGCCGTGCCAGCCACAAAGTCGTTGGTGCCAGCCGCCCGCGCGCCCAGTGGTATGACTTCCAACCTTGGACTATTACAGTGGTTTCAGAGTAGATGGCAGAGACCTCAAGATGTTCTTTACATGGGGGTTCATATTCACCACCTCTTGGGGTTTGTGCCATTCTACTCGCAATCCACTATAAAGGCTTCAAGAAGTCAAGTCTTGGACCTGTTCCTCAGGACAGTTTCAAGCCCTGGATCCTTTTGTGCATCCTTAAAAGGCCTGAAAAAAAGGTGGTGGCTACAAGAACGCCAAGGTGGTCGCTGGTCACCTTGGCCGTGGACGATGCTCTCATGGCGCTGGTCGAGCACGTGTCGCACATGGAGCTGACCGAGGCCTGGGGGGTGGGACGTTGGTTCCCTGAGGACGTTGGATGCGGTGTTCTCTTGAGACACCTTCTCCTGGTTTTCCTTACAGCCTTACTTAGGATGATTTCGTAATTGTCCCTATGTGATCTATAGGTGAACCCTCTTTTGGTGAAATATCCTTTCCCGGGTTCCAAGCTAAATCCAAGCTCTTGGATGCCTCGGTCATGCTGGGTCTGTTCGACACGGAGGGTGCCGAAGATGGAGGGGAATCGGGAAGACTCCTCCTCATGGTCATCAGAATTGTTGAATTTGGCTTGAGAGTTTGGCGCATGGTCACCTTATGGTCTTGCATGGGTGGCATAGATTTTGCCCAGATTGTTGAAAGTTGGTGCGGCTGACCTGGTCTTTGCCAAACATCAAGACCTACATACATAGAAACACTCACACATCCAGTTGATCCTCCCCAGCCTCGCTCGCTCTCGCGCGCGGAGCTCGCCGCAGGGGAGCAAGATGGAGCTGAACCAGGAGGGTCGAGCCGAGTCAAGCGACGAAAAGCACCTGTTTGACTGGACCAATTTTCAAACCACATAGTATAGGTCATAGGTCCCGAAAGAACCCTCATGTTTGGTCTTTTTGGTGCGTTGCGAGGAGTTGATCATCTTCGATAATCTTCGATCCTTGATTGATAGTGGTTCCTTCCTTCACCCCCAAAAGAGTAAATAAAGCGGGGCAGATCCCCCTGAAAACTGGAACGACTCTCACTGAGTCTCTCTGTCAACGAAGCGCTGGTCAGGCGTTTCGGGGGTTTTCGGCACCCCCACAGCTGGTGGCCGAGCCCACGCAGGTCGTCTCACTGGCTTGGTCCTTCAGCAATGCTCGTTGCGCCTCGGTTGTCCTCGGAGGTGGTGGTTGCACCTCGTCCTGTAGATGATCTTGAAGTTTTTGAGCCAAAGTACCTGGTGGCTGATGCAAGGAAGGGCAAGGAAGGGTCCCGGGTCCCTGGGATGGGATGAGCAGGACCGAGTCGAGCAGTGCCCCACCTGAAAGACCTTGCCATCATCTATTACAGTAGCCTCCTAGTGAATCGGTCAGCTGCGCCAAGGTCAGTTGCCAGTGGTTTTGGTGAAGGGGGCTGAGGAAGGCTTGCGATCCTTGGCCCAGGAGACGTTTTGGAGCACAGATGTCGGGCCTGACACCTGTAAGTAAAAGTACATGTATGTAAATGTATATGTATGTATAATATTTATATTATACGTTTGTTGGTTTGCTTTTGGGCAGTATTGCTGCTAGGATTTGCAAGGTAGGTTCATAGCATGTTTCAGCCACCCGTCCAGATTTCTTGTGGAACTGCGGTGGGGGCTACACTACACTTCCACTCAAAGTTTGTGAATTTGTGTCACACTCTTTGCGATGGTGACCTGCAGTTACCATTGCGAGCATGACCACAAACCAAGCAAGCACCGATGCTGCTGATCCAAATGCGACTACTGCACAAACAAGTTGTATCAACATTTTACGAGATATTCCTATGCTAGTTCCTATGTTAGCTTTGTGTTTCTCCTTGTCGTTTGCTGCTCTCCTCCTAACTACTGCAGTGAGGCTACTGCTGCTAGCCATGTTTGAGCCGGCCGGCCAGGAGAAGGCAGCTTCGCCCCACATCGACGTGGAGTTGATCCTCCGGACACTTCATGTCGGGCCCGTCCAAGGAACGCCAAAAGAAGCGTCCAAGCAGACAGGTCCACAGGAAGGATTCCACGTGATTGCAGATCCTTGCTTGGCTAGACTTTTTCGGTGATTTCTGGCACACCTTCACAACATTCCTTGCAGACGTTAGGGCTGCAAAAGGTTTCAAACCCTATATATCATACTCTATATGCTTGAAGCAAAGAGATTCATATGATTTGCAGTCGCGCAACTGGCAATATTGACGTGCGAAAATGAATACACGACTTCAAGCGTAACAACTGCACAAGTATAGGTTCCAACTCTCAAAATACGAATAAGGATGACGAACATTCAGAGAGCTCAGCTGCTTGAGCTGCTTAAGACCAGCAAGGGGCTGACTCGCAGCCTCATCCACGGACATTCCAGGGTCCCATGACCATCGTCGCCTCATGACCACGCCAATCGCCACGGGATTTGGGCAAACCTGCAGGTTTTGAACCTCAACGCTCTGCTCTCTGAGGAGACCCTAGGCTCAGCGTTGCATGACCTGAGCCAGTCACACCGCCGGGAACGTTCCCCGCGTGAGCGGGTTTTTGGATGGTGATTGGTTCGTTGATTAAGAAAGAGACATGATCCAAGATATAGATTAATTTATTATAGAGATAAATTATAAAATGCATGTTGGTAGAACATGTTTCCTCCAGTCCTCCTTCCAAAAGTTATTGAAACATGGCGGTGTCTTGAGGAAAGCCAAACGCCAAGCAGCTGAAGTATGCTAAAGGCAGCTAAAGCGGTTGAAGTTTCCGGATTCCACCCCCAAACAATCACATAACATAGATTGATTAATTATATAAATAGTAATTATGACTTTGGGAGTTCCCCCCCTGTCCCTACTCCGCGGAAACGGATGGACACCAACACCTGGCCGGTTGCATGTTGATTCTTCATCACAGGTGGACACATCACCTGCGCCGCCGCAGCATTTAGGCTACCAGTTGTTTTGTTTTCTTTTTTCTTCCTCGGTCGGTGCGAATACTTTGGTGCAAACACGCGCCCGCCAGTTGGCTGGAGGCCAACACGAAGTGAACAGAGCGAGCAGGCCGGGGCAGTGTTTTTGCACCGTCGATGGATCCGATAGGAGATGGGTCCGAACGATTGGTCACCTATAAGAACTTCCTTACTACCAGGAACCCCTTGTGGCTCCCAAATGCTTGTTGAAAGCACTACCATTTTTGGGCTGTTGTTTGGCTGTTTGCTTGACCATCATGCGATGATGGGAATGTTGGAGACTTTCTCCCTATATATAGACAGTTTCTTTCTGCTGTGAAGAGGGCCAAGCAAAACCGCCAGCTTGCAAACGCCCCAAGAAACGCTGGACCCCAGATTGCCTCCTTGGTGGGTCACGTTCCCGTGTGGGGGCTCCACACGCCCCACCACCTGGGCCAGGCTGTGAAAGCTTTGTGCACAGCTTGAACCAATGGCGTTTGCATCGGCCAGTTTCTTGGAAAAGCTCAGGCGCGGACCACAGCAGCGTGAAGGGGCCACAGGGTGCGACTGCTAAACACATCTAAACAGTATTTTGCAAGGCTTGGCCTCCACTGTTGTCTTTCATAACACTCAGGTTTTTTGGTAGAATTTCCAGAAGACTAGTTGTCGAATGTTGTCGATACATCATTAACTTCTTACACAATCACTACTTACTTGAGAACCGAGCCAAGATGAGCCAAGATCTTTCACTGCCTTATTCAATCTCTGCATATGCAGGCTCTTCATTGCTCCTCCTATCACAAGAATCGCAATGGCTTCAACCAACAAACCACATGGCTCACACAGATTGCCATTCATTGGACGATGTGCGATTTAATGTTTGAGAGATGGCGCATCGCAAGGCGTAGCAAGGCGCATGGCATGATCCAAGACTTGATCCAAGACGTGTGGTGACCGATCCTTTCGTGTGGTGGCCATACCAAGCCGGATCGATGCAGATCACCGCACCGATGCGGATGCCCGGCACCAACCTTCGTCCGGGACGGTAAGGACGGTCCGGCCCCTGGTCGGACCAACGCCACCGCAGACCCGTTCGAGATCACGGTCGGTCGGTCATCGGTCGGTTCTCATAGCGAGGCATGGATATCGTGGCTTTCCCAGCTCCAGCAAAGCAGCTGGGAGTTCAACAGGCGAAGCCGACCGAAGAGCGTGCGACTTGATGCGACCCAGAAAAAGAGACCCACATAGAGGTCCCAAGAGTTTCTCATGTTGATTCTCGATCGTTCTTGGCGTTTCCTGTGACATCAATCCGCCATACAAGCCATCCATGCCTTTTGCATGTGTTTTTTCTTTTTTCAAAAATACCCCTGGTCAGTTCTGTATCGCCATGGCGGAGGTTTCTTGGATGCTTTGGTCGAGAAGCTTGGCTTGCGCTTGGCGGACGGCGGGTCCACGGCGTGCCATCACGGTGTGTTCGCGGACCGTCCTGTCGCTGCCGTTCTGATCTGGGGCTGGCCCAGATTAGTCCAGATATGAGGTTAGGTCATGTTAGGTCAGCTTGATGGTTGAGCAATGGCATTATGTATTTATAAATAAGTATATTATTGCTCTCTATTTAATTTGTGTTATATAGTAACGTTTCATGCCAGTGTTGAAGCAGTATGGCTTCACTTCCTTCCGTATAGCCATGGCTTCTATATGATTCAATATAGATGACGGGCACGGCGGAAACCAGAGGTCAAGATGTGTGACAGGCGCCGCCTACCTGTCGACACTTCATCCACACTGATCAATGACCCAGACACGACCCATGGGACTGCCATAGGACTGCCGCCCCAGACAGACCCCCCCGAACCACCACCCCAATGCAAGCGTATATGGCAGTCCCATGGGTCGTGTCCTGGGTATGCCACTTCAAATCCTGTTTGCCACGAGTCACTCGTATCGAATCGACGCGCCTTCGTATGTTGGCATCTCAACGGTTGGTTAGGACATCTAAGCCAAAAGCACCTGGCGCCACAACCCATCGTATCATACTATACCAGTACCCTTCCAGGCTTTTGGTGTCCAACAATTCTGAAGCAGCCCAGCTCGGGGGCCATTGGCTCCTCACGGCTCCTGGCTTCTCCTCCTTTTTTCGTGTCTATCGTCGATACGTTGACCGAAACACCACGGGCGTTCCTACCACCGACTTCACCGAGGCTTCCAGGCGCGAGCCGCCCGCAGAGATGCTTCCAGCGAACCGCCCGGGGCCGCAGTTGAGCCGGACCGAGTCGGGAGGCGGAGGAGGTTGGAGGATGGGACAGATGTTTGGGACGGGACGTGGGGACGTGGCCACCGATGGTCTTTGGAGGTGGTCCTTTGGAAAGGGACCGACTATGGGAGTTGATTGGTTTACCCAGCTATGTGGTGACGGAGGAGTGGCTTTGGCACGGAAAACCATCAGAAACCCTGGTGTCTTGGAGTTTTGGGTTCTGGCTGGTTCTGGGTCTACGATCGGATTCAATGCCGGGATTGTTCCGGTTCGTTGTGAAATCAACTCAAGAGCCGGCTAGCCAATCAACGGAGACCTGCAATGGACCCATGAATCGGTCTGGCTTTCCAAGACAGCAAGCGCTTTCCCACCAGTGGTTGGGAGATCATCAGATGCACTTTGGGGTTATCAAACGACGCCCCGGATCGAAAGGAGCATTCCAGCTTGAAGTCGAATCAACGACTATATTATATCCTATGACATATTACGAAAGCCAGCCGATAGGCTAGGCTGGAGTTGTCGATGGGCGAACGAAGTGAGTATCGGAGTGTGGGGGGTTGCAAACCAGAGCCTGGTGGGAGAGAGCGACAACAATCACAGGGTATAGTGCAAATGTATGTTTTAGGGGTCTTGGCGATGCGAGTGATGCAAATGACGCTGAATAGTGTATCATATTGACTAGGGGGAGTTTTGGTAGAGGACAGGAAAGGGGAGACTGCGTGCTGAGGGAGCCGACCAAGCTAACCAGGCGTGTCCATCCATTTAGAGGACAGAAGCGGCGAGATTTGTGCAAGCCAGAATCTTTTTCTCACAGAGATAGCGTTCGGACAACGCAGCATTTGTTTCATCTTTACAGCTGCGTCTTGATATGGGATCTCCTTTTTGCTCTGTAAAGAGGTGCCCCATATTGAGGTGGGCTCACCCGATTTATGAGTGCAGGAGTGAGTGCAGGTAGAGGACAGGAGAGGAAATAGAGTGCAGTCAGGAACCTTTGAGTTGCTTGGGGGCCCCTTTGTATTGTGAAAAGTGTGTTATCTGGATGAAAATTGGCACCTCTCAGAGCTACAGACGCCCAAGGGAGTCGGACTTTTGTACGGATCGAAGCCTATCCTATGCCCAGTAACAGTGGCTGGGAGTTGATGAGCCCAGGTGCAAGACAGGAGAAGCAAACAGCAGGCAAGCACCCCTCTCTTACTTAGGGCCCTTTTTCAGCTTGAAAACGTTTCTGAACCAAGATGTGTGAATGCTTTGCTCAATTCAGGGATGCAAATGTCCTTCTCAATTCAACCTTTCTCCTCACGCATGGGCTCCACTTCCATCCTATAACCGCTAGCAGTGAATCGGCATTGATCAGGGCCCCCTGCATAAAAAGCTAAAGAGCCTATCATATGGACCTTCAATGCGAGACTTTGCGCCTCTTTGCCTTCTATTTCCTCATGCCTGACAGCAATTGAAGTGCGCTGCCGACTTTCACCCCACAACCACATTGATGTCTTCTGACGGAGGTTGGCTTTCGTCCCCTCTTCTCAGGTTATATAAGTTTAAGAATCTAATTGAACGAGTGGTCAATTATACTTGGGATCTTGCGTGCTCAGCCGACTGCACTTCGAGGCTGTCGCCGTCTCACAGCTGAAGGGCCGCATCTCGGAACCAGTGACCCGAAAGCCAGTGGAAACGATTTTTGGGAGCTTGGGGGCGGCCGGCGGGATTGTTGCCTGACGCGTTTTGAGGCCAAGTCGGGCAATCTCGAATCTATAACCATATATTACTTTTTGCTATATCAACTATTATCAACTGCTGATGGTAAAGAATGTCTGACCGCCAAGACTCCGTACATGCAACTGGGAGTTGATGTTCAATGACTGTCCGTTTTTCTTCATATTTGTTCCCCTATGCTTGGATGGTGCCCTATTCTTGTTGAACCAAATGAGCGTGAAACCAACCACAACTGAACAACACTGAAGTGGTGAAGAGGTCGCCCAGGTCGCATCTAATGCTTTAGAAAGGTACCTGGGCCGCCCTGGGCACCCCTGCAGAAGGGTCCTTAAAGTCAATGTGTTTCAATGTTCGTGAAGGCTTGTGGCTCTAAGCTCTTACCAGTTGGGCGTGTGATGGCTGTTCCCAAACATTGGGGCTGCCAAAAACACGTGTTCAAGCGAGAAAACGTGGAACAAATGAAGCACGCACCGGCCATGTTTTCGGGTTGCCTTGTTTGGCCGCCTTGCAGAACCAATCTGTGCAAGTAGTGCACCATTGAAGGCAGGAAACGCACAAATACTTCAACAGTCGAGTATGCCTGGCTTTTGATATACAGTTTTCTGGTGCCGGTTGCCATCCTAAGAGGTGAAGCGCATCACCCCACCCATGCATTTTTGAACGGGTTCATGCTTTTGGGGGATTGTCGTTGTTCAAAAAGATCGGACAGATGAGCAGTGTTTTGATGCCATGTTGTGTGTTTTGCAAGGTCAACGCCAAAGACTGCATACGCTTCTTGGCGTGCTGCTTGGCATCAACCGGAAGGGACGCGTGGTGTTCCAACGGGTGGAGACTGGTGTTCCAACGGTGGTGACCGGTTGAAGTACTTGGTCAAGTGCCCATGGAAACCGACTGCCCCCAAACAGCATGTCCTCGACTTGGGATTGCCCTCTACCTATCCAAGATCCATGCTTCCTTTGGTTGAACCATCTTGAACCTAAGCACGCCTTTGGCCCAAGTAACCATATTGCACCTGAACCGTGGCACCTTCTGGTGAAGATTGCAGTCTGCTGTGCGGCTAAGGTGAAGAGGATGAACGATTGTTTTCGGCCTTGACTTACTACAATGACGAGGCAAGCTTCGGCCACAAAGCGCACGTGGAATGAACATGATGGCCATCAATATAGAAACGTATAGTACAATCATGTATAATCCAGTCAGATTCATCAGCTTCAAAAAGTATCAAACACTGAATTGATGCGACTGGAGACTTCTTTGGTGTCTCCACTAGTTCACTAGTTCACTACTTTTGACGATCCTTTCTGTGACGATCCTTCAAAGAACACACCTGGAAGGATTTTTGAAGGTCTTCATGCCCCCAAGAGACTCCAACACCTCCATCGCCATAGAGCCCCGCCTTGAGGCCCTGCGCCGAAGGGTGGCGACTGACTGGATTGAGGTGGCGCTTCCGTTGGTCCCAATGGGGCAGCAAGTTAGGGGGGGGCAGCGGACATGTGGGGTTCGGATCCAATGTTCAGCATATTCAGGGGGGGTGAATTGAGGAAATGACTCTGACATTTCAGGGTTAGCAGCGAACGTGTGTGTCACTGTACCTGCAGCTGGCCACTCAGCCGGCAAAAGAGGAGAACAAGAAGAAACACATGTTCTGGTTTCGACTTCGAGGGTTCCATTTCCGCAGCCTTGTCTTGGGCCAGTGCTTTTTTCCTGGCGCGAGTGATTCATTCACCGATGCTTGCGGGGCTTCCCCGCTTCTACCGGTTTGTTTTGGGTCGGGACGCTCCAAGCTTGATCCGTCGACCTCGAGGCGTTTGGCTTCCTGCCCGGACGCTCCAATTGGCTCCTCAAAGCTTGAAGGGTTTGGTGATCCCACAACCCCTCCCTGTGAGGGTCCAATCCCTCCATATAAGGGTGCAGGAGCGTTTGGATGATACTTTTTCATCGGGTGCTGAGTGAGAACAACACCTCACGGGGCCATTATCACTTGCTCTCCATGTAGGTGATTTCTGCAATCGAGCAGGAGGTGCCAGAGCGCTGCTTGATTGCAAGGATGAAGGTGTTTCAGATGTGTTTGCAAGATTTTGCAAGGGCATTTCTTGATAGATACGCCTGAAGCACTGTCAGAGCAATGCCTCACACTCTATTGACATCTACTAACTGCAGCTAGGGCGGGGCGGGAGAATATATACTTGTGAGGGGAGGCGGGGGCGCATATGGTTTTTTGTGAGGTGTGGTTGTGTGTGTGTGCTTTTGGTGGCCAAATGGCTGGAGTTCAGAATCATTACTGGATTATTTGATCGATCTTGGGAGCTTTGTTCCGAACAGGACCGGGCGACGAGTCCCTCAGCGCCGCCCTCCAAGCGGACTTGGAGGCAGAGCAGAGCACCGGACGTGATTCTCCAAGAACTCTGAAAATTGTTCGTTGCCACATGCCAAATGCATACTTTGTGTGAGGGGCACATTGATTCATTCAACTCTTTGCGTTCAGAACAATTTCGGATGTATGAACCCCTAGGCTAGGACGACTTCCCGACCGACCAACCGTGCAAAAACGTCCGACATTTCCTGATTGTTTTATAGAAATGGCACTTGTTGGGAACGTGGGGTATATAATTTGTTCCCATGTCTGTTTGAACTGACTCAACTTCGCATCAGGACTGGTCCAATTGGTGCACAGAGGCCACCGGGCCGTCTTCGGGCCGTTACGGACCGCATTGTGAGGGATGTGAAGGATCATTCCAGGATGGGGATCACCAGGAAAATAGTGAACATGAATCATGACTTATCATTAAGATATTATGTGAATTTAAGTCTAAGTGTGTATGGACAAAGAGGAGGGAAAACAATCTGGATATATATATATATTGTATTAATGTTGTGTGATTCATCATGTATCATGATGGAACATCTATCATGTTTACATCTATATGCCTCTGTTGATGAATAAATCACCCCTGTATCCGGGAAATGTTTGACATTGTGTGATAATCCTGATTCTGAATCTCCAGGGGCGGGGAAAACCAACCAACAACCAACATGAGTTCCTCCCTTGTCTCTTCCACTTCGCTTACCCTCGTGTAGGTGAGGCATGGCCCAGCTACTACACTCGGCCAGAATTGCTTGTCCAGGTGGGCGAGGTGTACATCTACTTTGCTTTCCTAGACATGAAAGGCGACCGAGGTTTGCTGATGCAAGTGGCGCCTTGTTCTTTTTGTTGTCGTTGCTGATGGGATCGCGTGAAGAATCATCCTGAGAGATGCTGAGAAGGGAAGGCCACGGACGAATCGACCCTTTGGACCCAGTCATCACGTAGGTCGATAGGTCGAGCATCGGCGCGACCGAGTTCTTGGGCGGTGGCGAGGGGTGAGCTGGCGCCCGCATCACATGTCATAGAATTGGGGGGGCCGACCTGTTGACCACAGAAAATGCACAGAATAGACGACTGGAGAGGTCAACCTACCAGGGATGAAACATGAACATTGATCCCTCCAAGGCAAGCTTTCTCAACCAACGCAATGCTCGGCCTTGAGAATCATTCTCGGGTATTGAGCAGCAGGTTGATTCAGGATCGCAGGATCGCAGGATCTCATGAACATGCGTTTGCGTGTCTTATCCACGTGGCATTTGTGGGAATCAACACGTCACACATCATCACACCCATGCGACGTAAGAGACATGGCCTACATGACTTGTTGGCCTACATGAAGTGGAATCGACGTCACAGGCACCTGCTAGTGGCACATCTTCAGTGTTTATATATATATATATATTTATATTGAATGGCCGTCCAGTGGCCCGGTCCTCCAGTTCAGTGAGGTGCGCGGGTGGTCCTTGGAGCGTTTCTTCTGAGGTCAAGCACCTGCAGATGTTATTGGACGTGCCTTCCATCAGCAGCCTCATCGCAAATCTTCAGAAGACCAGGTGCACGTCTCGCACCGCTTCATGCCCTGGGTTTTGCAAGCATTTCATGCGGCAAGTTGGATCTGAAAAAACTCATTCTTTGCTTTAGCGGGGCGCCCAGGGATTGGCATGTGATGATTTTCTTGGACCTAAGAAACTCCTCAAGTGACTGAGCAAATCATGGCCTTGCCTTTTCGCCACGGTCTTTCGATGAAAGCCCGCCCGGGTTGGGCCGAAGTTACCAGAAAGATCCAGAAAGACTAGTTGCCAGCAGAGCAGTTGCGGAAGAATACCAAATAGTTACGGAAGAAAAGGTTTCAGAAGAATGAAGGGTTTCATAATACTTCGTTCAACTTCGTTCGGCCCATGGTGAGTCTTCTTTCACCGTGCTTTGCATTTGCTTCGGAGCCTCCAGATGATCTTGCCAAAGCACGGTCCAAAACCGATTCAGCGTGAAATCGCTGTCCTGTGTGTGTGTGAGAGAATGCATGAGAAAGACTCACCAAGGGCCCTATCTAGATGAATCTTTTTGGAGTTGCTTGGGCCGCTGTGAAGGCGATGGGCACAAGCTACTTGGCGGATGATGGCACAGCAAGAGAATGCGGAGCTGCTCGGGCGTCAGCATGTGCAGATGCTACAGTGCCTGGGCGGTTTTGGAGCGAATCGCCATGCACCAGTCAGCAGAAACACAGCGCCCTGCTGACACTTTCAGCAGCGAATTCTGATCCCTCGCTCACCGATCAGTCGAGCCACTCGGAAACCCAAGGGACTCAGGCCTCACTCTGAGGCCCCCTGAGGCCCAAGGATTGGGGGCAGTCTTGAATCATTGTGAATCATATTATGATGTAGACTCTTGATTAATAAACCCACGATATGAAGAGGACTTCCAATTCAAACGGAAGGGTTTATTCACTACATTACTGTATATATGTTTTGAATTGGGGGGGGGCAAACCCCTAATATCACCGGAACGTGAATGAAAGTGAAGATGTTTAATGATGTTTCGCGCATCCTCCCCTGAGCATGCATTGGGCCTCACGACGCTTTTTGATACCTTTTGTGTTGTAGGGACCCCTCACTTGAACCACTGCTTCTCCTTTTGAGGCAGTGGCTCCTGGTCGCCAAGGAGCAGCGGAGTTGAGTTGGGCAAAAGCCGGGGGGGGACCCAGCTTGAACCCGCATAGCTAGGGTTTTGACCCTCACAGCCAGGGTTTTGGACCGAACCAACATGTTTGAGGGTCCATGAGCCTTTGGGTAGTCAATTTCTGCAAAGCCCTCCTCCATCAACTCTTGGGCCACTGAGCGAACGACAGTTCCGAATGTGTTGAGACAGAGGGCAGCTGGAGGGTTCGCTCAGTTGCATCAATGAGTGGGAAGATGGTGACTGCTCATTGGGCGACTGGGTATGTGGCCGCATGTAGCAGCTGCAGTGTTCAGACGGACACCCAGCAGCTTGACATCTTCAATTACCAGCAGCTTCCTATGGTCCAGTCTCATGTAAGCCTGTCCCTTTTCTCCGATTTCAGGCGGCCTGAGGTTTTCACTGCACACCATGAGCCATTCGTTCTATGATCACCTGGCAGAAGCACCTGGTTCAAAGCAGGGTCCTGAAGCTTTCCCGCACTACTCCCTGTTAACTGGTCCCTCCAAATAACACGGTGAAGGCATTTTGGGAGGCACCCAGTGGTCCCAGGAGAATGCTGCGGCCGAACTACCGGAGCACGGGCTCAAGCAGTCCTGGGAGACCTGCTTCAGCTGCTTGGGCGATGCCGTTGTGACCCAAGCGACCTACCCGGTCAATGGATGACCTTTAAATACCACCTTTTTGGTGCTTTGTTTGGGGATTGGTCGCCCCACTACACACATAAGAACCGATGGAAATCATTTATATATATATATACATAGACAACTCGTCTTTTTCAAGAGTTTCTATGGAGTTTCTTTCTTTTAAAGCACAAATCATGCAGGTTCCGCCATGTTCCGCCGAGGTATGCTTTTTTTCCATGTTGTTCTCTATCGAATACGGATCGGATTTGTGGTGAGCCCACTGCTGAAGAAAAGGGTTTTGTTGTTGTCCAATGGGAGAGACCTCGTGTGTGTGTGTGTGCTTCTTAATTGTGGTGCAGTTGGCTTTCGGAAGCTAGTAGCTAGCAGTTGCTTTTCCCAAGGTGGTCTACAGAAGGTGCCTTGGCACGACTTCGTGGACAGCCTGCAGGAGCAATTCCTCAAAGGCTTTTGCCCGAAGGACCCGCTTCCACAGCCTGAAAGAAGATTTCAGGAATGAACAGGTCCACGCAGAATGGGTCGAAACGTGGAATACATGGTCGTATTTTTAGCAAGAATTGCTGCAATCAGTGAGTATCAATACATTAAATCAGAAAACCATGCCAGCACTGCTATGGTTTTATCATCCCCGCTTCTTACATCCTAGCCAGAAGGAGACGCAAAACGTCTTGCTGGTCAGCATTCCTGGTGCCTAGAATTCACTTGGGACTGGGGATGGATGTCGGACCTTGAAAAACCGACGTAGGTACAAGGTATTATAGAAGCATATATATATATATATGTGTATAACATGTGTTTGCAAGCTGACTAGTGGACAACCATCATCTCTCATCAAAAGAGATGGCTCTTGACGAGCTGAAACATTGGCTACGCCCTTGTCCTTCCAATCACTTCAGATCCGGTGCTTGGGCACGACTGGTGCTACTTCGTTCCAGGACCTTCTGCAGCCCTTGCGGCGGCGTCTCATCAAGGACGGAGACCATGCTGCTCGTCACCGACCGGGCCCGGTGGTGGGTTAGAGTTGGGGCCCGCGTGAAACGGGGTCGTGGATCCCAGTAAATTGGATATAGCCGGTCAAAAATAATAGTTGTCAGATGATTCTACAGAACGTCACCAGATACCATCATATGTGGGACGTTAGTGTGGGACATTACACTACAGTGATTACAGCCCTTTAGCCACTTGCGTAGAGATTCCAGGCACACAGCTGCAAAATTCTAGAATAGAAATATATAAAGTATCCAAGAATTCCAAGCTTCTATTTTACTTGGTTGCACTTTTCGATGTTGTTTCACCCAGGAACTGTCTCATGTTGGACTTTGTGGGGTCGGTTTAGCATCCTCTCCAGTCACTCTGGATCATCAAGCTTGGCTCCCTTGGCACGGATCTCCTTGGCTCCCTTGTTTCGAGGTCACTCGGCAACATTGGGAATTGCTTTTGGACGCTTACAGCGACTCCATCTCCGACATTTTGGACGCTTTGCTCGAAGAGGCCGATTGGATGAAGAGCTTGACTGGAATTGTGGATGGCCTTCTTGCAATGGAATTGTGGATCCTGAAGTGAGAAAAACGGGATGGATTTTCTTCCTAGTGCCCCCTAGATTGGTGACTTATGCGGGATTCGTGGCCAGCCACGTGATGAAGGTAATGAACAATGATACAAGCTCTTCCAATCTTCCAACCTTCAACATCAACATGAGTGACCTCAAAACACTCGATTGTTAAATTGTAGGACCAGCCCACTGCATCCAGCACTTCATTCAAAAGGAACTGGCACTTCTATTTTGACCCAGTATGAGCTGCGCTTGTAATGGCGACAGGCTAAAATAGATTAAACAGGGCCTGTGCTGGGCTGCCAAAACTAAGTTCTGGTTGCATTTTGGAGAAGTATCAGTTGTCTTGGGAGACTCTTTTGTACAGATCACAAAACACCTGACAGCCATGATGCTAGACCAGCATGTCCATCAAGGAAGATCTTAAAATTGTGGTGTGCCGGTGTGACCCGGATTTCGGACTCGGATGTGACGCGGAGCTGTTGGCTCACTTGTGACGCGTTCGTGCTCACCTTTGGATCTGGTTTGCCCTGCCCCCCCCCCCCACCCCCCCCCCGCGCCACGAAATCTGCACTTCATCTCCAACACCCGTGCCTGCCACAAAATCAATATTTTAAGGTGTGCCCGTGTGCCTGTGAGTAGTAGTAGTAGTAGTCGTCGTCGTCGTAGTAGTAGTAGTAGTAGGAGTAGGAGTAGTAGTAGGAGTAGTAGTAGTAGTAGGAGTAGGAGTAGGAGTAGTAGTAGTAGGAGTAGGAGTAGGAGTAGTAGTAGTAGTAGTAGTAGTAGTTTTAGTAGTAGCTTTGGTGTCGCAAATGAGTCCGCTTTGGTGTCGCAAGTGAGTCTATCCTGGGTAGGTTTTGGTGTCGCAAGTGAGTCAGTTTTTTAGTGAGACCCTTGCCCTCGGAAAGGTTTGTGTGAATCAAGTGGGTTAGGGGATTGGAACGTGTGCAGCATGTGGTTGGTTTCTGGTGGTTCGTCAACATGGCTGATGCATTGGAAGTGCATGAAGTCCCCACTAAGACTAGGAACTCATGTCCAGCAATCCCTAATACAATAGAGACAACTTTCCGAGATATTTGCTGAGCAGAACTTCCTATGAATCATTGAACGCATGTCACTTCGCATTTGGGCCCCCTGCCCCCCACTCTTCTCCGCTTGAGGCCCCTCCGGGCCATAAGGAAAGCACGGCCCCGTTCGCCACCACCTGGCCGGCAGGCGTTGGAGCAGCTCCCCTGGGCGGTGTACCGGGTGGGTCCCTCCGACTGGCGGGGCATCTCCTCCTCAGCTCTGTCCCGAGGCCGGAATCGATCGGTGGGTTCGGGGCGGGTTCGGGTGATGAGAGCGGAGGTTCCAGGCCTGGTGGGTCGTTGTTTCGTGGTTTCCAAAGCTGGAGTCTTCTGAGGAAGCCTATGGAACATCGCGCGTCATGTGAGGTGGATGTCGAATGATGACAGATGGCTGCGAGATGGGCCGACAAGAATGGGACTCTGGGTGCACCAGGTGGGTTTCCGATAGTTTCAGAAACTTTGGGGGTGTTTTTGACTCGATTGGAGCATTTCCTTTAGCATGTTTGTACCTTTTTTTTTTTAAACACCTCATGGTTGGCATGGCATTTGTGGGACCAGCTGAACATCTGGCACCAGCCAAGGATCAGCGATCGGAGGTCCAAACTGGAAGACCAATCTCATCCAATTTCAATATACACAGCAAAAATAGACCTGTTTTGCGGGGGTGGTGGCCTTCTGGCGTGCAGAGGCGTGTGCAGTACGCGAGCTCAAAGCATTCAGAGGCATCCAAAAGAGGTTTTGACTCACCTACTTGTGGGTTCTCAAAAACGTGAGTCGAAGCCTTTGGCTGCTACTTTTTCTTTTCAAGCAAACTTCGCCGTCGTGTTCCTGTCTTTCCCCAGTGCCAAGCCCCTCGGTCGTGAACAGCGCTGGAGAGCATCTCTGTACGGCGAGGCGACGCACAGCCCTCCAGCAGCCGAGGAGCTCGGAGAAGTGCCAAGAGCGAGTCCAGCCGACGCGGCTTGGTGGGAGGATGGGGCTGGGTGACCGGTGACTGGGATGGAAGTGCAGTGGTTTTGTAGATTCGTAGGTGGCGTGGCACTGGCACCCCAAAGATGTCTTGGAAGGTGCGGGTCCAAATGAACAACCTTTTGGGCATTGTGCCATTTACATCATATGTATGTCCGCACTGTAGGTGAATTGACTGGGATGGATTCTCCTAGTTGACTTTAAATACTGGAGAGCATACCGTGGACAACCAGTTGGACGCCACGGTGCCACCTAGCAAGTGAGGGAATGACACATGTTTATAATGGGTTCCTTTAAACGAATCTGGCAGTCATTCTATGTCATTCCCTCACCAGCTTCGGCAGCTACGGCCTATTCGCATTTTTCACAAAGGCCCACTGTTTGATTCTTGACGCTGGCTTTTGATTTCAGCGGAACGAGGTTGCTCCTTTCATCAAACATGCGAAATTGGTAGAGCTGCAGTGCTGCCTGAGATTGCCTGAGTCTTCCAAGACCGGGCCTGCCTGACATGACCCACACCCAGTCCCACTGTCCTGTGTTGGGCGGGCCTGGCAACACCTCGCAGGATGTGGGCATTTATGCTGTCTCCGACCTTTAAAAATCATGGCCCCATTTTTTGGAATGAGCCATCTACAGGCAAAAACACCGCCATGTATGTTGAAACCGGTCTAACATGTCTCCCCTTCCTTGAGGACCAACACACACTTCGAACTTTGATTTTCAGTTAATGCAATCTCTGGAAGAAAGGAATGGCTCAACGGTAAGGTGGAAAGTCAGCGCAATTGTAGATGTTTTAACAAAGGTTTTTCTTACGTGACTGCGGAAAGCGCACGGCGGCAAAACGGCAAGTCGGCTGCAAGTCTGCGTTGGGAAACCTGTTTAGGGGAAGGAAGACATGAACCACCATGAAACAAACCAAAGGAGTGGACAGCGTGGGCAACAGTTTCTTAGCAGGTACACGGTCAGACGTCTCTGACCGCATCCACCGAGCAAGCATAGCTTTGTTAGCCAGCGTTTGCTTGTCGGCCGCTGGCCCCCTGCTTGTGGAACGAAGGTGGTGGAAAAACCCTTTGTCCAGGGTGGGACACACACACACACACACGCCAAGACATCGGTGTGCGAAGGGAAACATCCGGGCCAATTCTCGGGTGGAGGGAGATGCAGTATGTATGGGCTAGTATGGTCTTAAGCTACATATGCTTGCAGTTCTGGAGGGATCTATATGGTCCACCCTCGGGTGGAGGGATCCACTATGGCGCTGGCATATGTTGCTATAGTGCTGGGTGGGATGGTTGCGGATGGCTTTGACCGTCAGACCGGCTGCTGCTCGGGTTGGTTGGTTTTGAGCTCCAAAGACCGCCACGCCGCCACGCATTCGCTTCAGGTGGACCTCTTTGCTGCGCCAGGGCTGCTCGCTCCAAGGTTCAGCTTGGCCTCTCCGACGGTGCAGCGCGGGTGCCTGGGCGACCCTTTTCATTGTGCTTTGGTTCCGCATAGCTTGGTGCTTTTGTGCCAAGGGGCACTAAATTATTGATTTACAGTCGAAAGCGTGCCTCGGTAAAGCATTTCCATGGTGTTGCAACATCCAACGGGGTGAATTTTCGCAGGCCGGGTGACTTTCAGCTGGGTGCCGGTGAAAGGTAGGATATAATTGTGTCAGAGGGATTTGGGTTGATGGTGAGGGTGCTGATGGTGCTGAACATTGACGAGGCTTCCGAGTCGGCGCATCGAATGAGGCCGAGAACAGCCATGGAAAGGGAGTGAAGGAGTCGACTTGGCTGCACTTGGAGATGATTTCTGGGTCCCTTCACCAACCAAACAATGTGGGATGGGTATGGCTATGTATGGATGGGTGGGCTTTTCAGTGAGATGATTGAGTGCCCGATGGCTCTTTGGATGGTCATCGATTTCCCTCCCCCAAAAATGCCCAACTCGTGCGGGCTCGGGGGGGAGAGAACATCCACCTCCCAACTTGCAGGCTGGAAGAAGGTAGCCATACCCCTGAAGATCCTCGTGTGCATCTTCATCCAGTGGAAGCTGGTCAGAAGATCCATTGGGACGCCTATGTGGATGAGCACCTTGGGAGCAGATCACCTGGTCAAGACGAGGTTTGGGGGTCACAAAACACCTGAAGTGTTGAACTGCTGCGGCCAGGGGCACCATGGAGGTACCATCTCAACCAGATGCGGGCAAACAGAGTGAGGTGTTTGTCCAGCCATGCAATCATTGGATTTTGCGCCATGAGTTTCATTCATGGGAAACTTCCGCACAACTATGCCGTATACCAGCACCCTCCAACAGGTCACCACCTGCGACTTTTAAGTCAGCAAAAGCCTCCATTTCGGAGACCTGTAGAGTCGGGTGCTGGTATAGAATTTATCCATATAACATGTTCTTTGGCTTTCGTTTGCCTTTGGCGCCGGCCGCACGGTGGACCCGCCCGATCACGCCCCGATGATCGGTGAGGCTCTGCCGTGCAGAGATGCGTTGGTGGACTGTGGACGACTCCGATCGAATGGAGGAGGCAACCGGAGGGAGGTGAGACGGAGGAGGCGGAGCGGACAGGTTTCGGAGGCTGGAAGATCGCTGGGTTTGTTTGATATACTGGGAAGGTGAGTGGGATAGATACCGATTGATGCCTGTTCAATTATGGGGTGCTGGAAGTGGTGCTGTAGATACCTATTCAATCCTATTCATGAACATTTTGGAAGATCCATGGGATAGATACCCATACATTAACCCTTTGGAAGATCAATGAGATGCACAAATACCTTATAATATCTTATGATATAGTTTATTCACATCAAACATTGGGAAGATGAAAGGACAGATGCCACCCTAGCTTCGGTGAATCGTTCAGAAACAAACCGTTTTCACTCTGAGATCGGGGATCGATACCGGGCCCGTGGCGTTGTGTGATCCAGTTTATGGTGTGGTGTGGTGTGGTGACAGTCGGCTCCCTTTACCTGGCTCCAGATCAGACAGTGGAGACATCATGCATTGCACGATGCCAGTGTCAGATGTGGAACAGTACAACTTTCCCAACAGAACTTCATAGGAAAGCAAGGACAGTTCTGGATGGTGCAGTTCTATAACTAGACCTGTGCTGTTGGAGATAGACAAGGGGATGCCAGGGAGAGGAGCCACACCCCAGAAGCTGGCTCACTCTGCAGGACCAGCTGAGGCTGGCAGCCTTGCGAGCAGTGAACAGCGCCACGGCCTGCGAACGGGATGCGCCGGTCACGCACGCACGTTCCGCGCACGGGATCGGAGTGGCGGGCCAGGATTGATGCGTTCGGGTGGATCCAGATCCAGACATCGCTTGAAGGCGGACAGGTCTACGACCACCCAAGACGACGTGGTTCGTCGGCTGGTGGGTCCGCACGGATCACAGCTCATAGCGCGCTGGATCCCAATGCAGACGGGTCAGGTGTGGGTGGAAGCAACTCCCTACAACTTTGAGGGGCCGGTTGGTTATGTGCCAGGGTGTCCTCTCGCACCATGGACTAGAATGAGTCAGCCAACCAGACAGTGCCAAAACTTCTTCAAGAATCTTTGAAGTTCATCCATCCTGTTCATTTTTTCATAGATGGACGAGACTTTGGAAAGAATTCTAACCTCTTTGCCTTTTCTGCACCCAGCTCTGCGAACGCGTTTTGTTATAAGGCGAGCTGGTGATCACAAGGAAGGCATTGCTGTTGCGTGTGGCCAGCGGAGAGATGGCGAAGAACCGCCCCATCGTGGAGTTCGGAGGCGGATGTGATGGTTTTTGTGGGTCCACAGTGAGTGGGTGACGGTGATATGGTCCATTGCAGGTGTGGCTGTAGTGTTTTTGGATGTTTTTGGAAGAGGACTAACAGAACAGCTTGTCATTATTCTTTTTAGAGGGCCCATTTGATAGACCAATTGGCTTTTTCTTCTGTGCCAAGGCGAACCGCAGCAACTGCCGGCCGTGTTGGTCAGCCCCAATGAGATCACCATGTCACCAACAGTGTGTGGAGCCCCACCGGGGGCGGAAGGCGGCGGCTGAGGAAGGCGGCGAGGGCGTTTGGATGGTTTGGACATGTTTGGACCCGGTCGTTTCTGGAACTGCATGTCAATGTGTCTCGGCTGTTTTCTATTTGGGCTGTTTTTTTTAAAGAATTGGACACATACACAACATGGTTGAAATCTAGATCGAAGGCACGTATCGAGAATCAAAGCCATGTTGGAAAATCACCCGCCAGCATCCAATGGAATACCCAAGTGCTACTCGTGGATGTACAGACACGACACTCCTTGGTCCAGGTATATATATATATATTATATATAAACGTAGCAATTAAATGCAATTAATAGTTATTATATAATGTACCACAGTGCATCATTTGGATTGTATTCCTCAACATAGGCGAGCAGGAACAACCTGGACAGCGAAACCCGGGAATCACGCCAAGCCGAAACCGAGGACCAAGTTTGGACGAGGCCGGGGGCCGAGGGAAGTTAGGCATACTTTGGCTCTTGATTAGTGGCTGGCTGGAGATTCTATCCACATGAATTTGTACTTCATAATGCATGCAGCAGCTTCCATTCAGTGGGATTTTGGTGCCAAATGCATAGAGGCATAGGGTTGGTTGAGAAGTACCCTTCTGGGGGGGGATTCTGTTATAGCTCGAGATTTTTGCTTCCCCTTTTCGATTCTTTCGTGAATGCTGCTTTTGATGGGACTGCTGATGGCGTTTGGTCATTGCCAAAGCCTCCTGGTATGACATGGCCCAACTTCTGTTGACGACGGAGTCGCAACTCACCAGTTACCCATATAATATATATCATTGACGGATTTGACTGTTCGGGTCAGGAGGAGATTTGAATCCGACAAGGATTTTTCCCACTGACCGCTTGTGGATATTCCATGATATTCTGACCTTTTCAGGGAAAGTTCTTTTCTGCGGAGCACTGCGGAGCTTCCAAATCTTCCGCAGGCTCCAAGCGTAAGATGATGCTTCCAGATATGGCCCCTTGGAAGCATTTGCACGCCGGTAAGAGAAACATAGAGAAACCTGGCATTACAAGACTCGTTTCTCGCAGAAAGAGCAAGGATGTTTGATTCGGTTCATGTTTGCTGTCAAGGTTCCTGAGGGGTGCAATCCTTGCCCACCTTGAGTGGGTCAGAATTGTTGTCGCCATGCACAACATCTGACTGAGTTCATGAACGAGCCCATTGCGTCGCGATCTCACTTTTCTATTTCTTTCGATGTGAAGAGTGAAAGGCCACTGCGGGATGGATGCGGGTTGGCGGAAACCACACAGATGGGAAGTGCAGGTAGACCTGAAGTTTCGAGCCGAGTAGAGTATGGGACAACACGTCCAGGTGTCATTTTGTTCAGCTGGATGACGAGTCCAAATCAACCTGAACGTAGGACGTCCACCGTACAGACGCGCCCGCCGTTGACATCACAAGCAGGTGAAATTTTGCAACCTGGTGACCCAAGGGTGAGTGGGCTCCCCCCACCCCGTGACAGTACCTTTTGGTGAGTGTGCAGCTACATTGTGCGTATGTAGAACCCGAGGATGTGGTTTTTTGATGTCTTTTCCTATCACAACAGTGCTCAAATGGGTCCTAGCATGTCCGGTCATAGACTCTAACAAACCAGGCTGTGGGATGCTTTGGCCCCGAAGGAACACCATACCATATGTGCCCTATCCCAGAATCCCAGACACGACTAATGGAACTGCCATATATGATATATGCCGATCAGGCCAGGGGTGGTTTGAGGTGTCAATGTAGGCATATATGAGGGATACATGGAGTGTCTGAGTGGTTATATAGATACCCTTCTGGTGAATATGTGGTTGTTTCCAGCTTCCAGCTTTGGGCACCTGAGGCTTTGGTGTGCCGTCCTGAGGCTTCCACAAGTAGTACGGATGGGTCATCCATCTTCAAGACCCAAACTTCAAGATTGCTGGCCAACTCACCAGGAATGGGGTGATGTAAACATGCAAAAGATGGTCATGAGAACTGGGAAACCATGCGAACTCGGGGTCACTTGACCAGTTTTCGATGGTGAGTGGGGAGGGAGGATCACCTACAGCCTAGCTGGCTCCTTTGGACCATCCAGCACCAGGTATCAGGTCGCAGACGCGGGCTCCAAATGGGGCACGTTCTTAAAGGCAGGATTCGGACCGAAAGCCGAGTATTGCGCGTGGGCGCAGGGGGAAGCCTCTTTCACTCAAATGAGAATCCTACTTGAAGCTTGAGTCTCATGAGCATCTATAGAGTCACCTGAAAGTCGCGATGGCCAGACTGATGTGACTGGTGGGCAGTTGCATTTTGCAAAAAGCTGTGAAGCTCTTTTCTTGCAGAACGTGTAAAAGTCGTTCTGGGTCATGGCCCTCAGCCTGAACCTCAGATTCACAAAGAAGCGTGGCCCTCAACATCGCACATCAACGGGTATCCTTTCCGGTGTAGAACTCATTTAATGGATCTAATTGGCTTTAAATATACCGCAGTCATCAACACCACCCCTGTGTGACCCCTGGTAAGGACCTGACCGTTGTTAGACCGGTGCAGACATCGGACCACGGCTGTGCTTTGAGACACCATGGCCTGGACACTCGGACTGTCAGACGACCGACCAGCTACAGGGCTTAGGGGGTGGTTTTTTGGGGTGGTTTTATTTGGTTAATGTAGGTATCACCCTTTTTTGGAGAGAACTCTTTGAAGGCGGAAGCGATATTTCCATAATAGTGTTTTGCCTGTCGTTTTTTAAGTTTCTGCGTCCATCGCGACTCCACGTTCGGGCGCTTCTGCTGGCAGCGCGCAGGTGCAGCCCGCAGGGACAAAGCTCAGCTGCGGGGATTGGATCCGCATCGGCAACGCAGAGATGGTGGTCCGACGCTTTGCCCTCCAAAAAATGAAGGGGCTCGGGGGGTGGAAGACGCACAGAGATGGGGCAGTCTGTTTCCTCCATGGAATCCATGGAACACAGGGGTGATTGGACCAACCACCGTGAGATCGTCATTCGTCCTTGAAGACTCGGAGGAGCCGCGCTAGCCAGACTAGTCCGAAGCCGTGAAAGGGACCCTGCACTTAGCTCAAGGGCAGAGGCGGGTAATATTAGTTACCATATGACGCGACACTCCTAGGAGCAAGCATGGAAGTGGATGGCATGGCCCGTTGGATGACCATGTTCCGAACGCCAAGCAGGTGGTGTCCACGAGGGCGGAACCCATGCACACCATGTTACTTACGGTAAGCGGCGATAGGCAATGGTAGGCACACGATTGCTAGGGCAAGAGTTCATTTCCCTCACTGCAAAGTCCATGTGATTTTCCAAGACGACAAGCCGCTCTATGGCACGTCCCGGCCGTCGCAACGTGCCCGGTCTTCTGAGGGTTTTGCGGCAGCACATGCAAGTCCAAGAGGCGTTCGGCGGCAGATGACCAGCCACCAAAGAGCAGACTGGCCTTTCCTGCGAACACACCGCCATGAAATGACTGACTGGTTATGTAGTGAGCAGTGCAGCCCCCCAAGGAGATGGAAGGCAGTTGGGAACGTGGGAAGATGAAATGTAATCTGTTTGACTTTGGTTCGTGCCAGTTGGCATGCATTTCGCAGAGTATGGTATATTATATATCACTCTATGGCTCTGGATGACCAACTGGATACCCAAGTTGCAGACCGTAGATTACAATTATGCCCACAGCGCAAGAATAAACCTCCCGGTAGTGAAAAATGGGTGGCAAAAAATGTGAACATTACTAATTATGTGAGTTCACCATGTTTTATAGACATATAGTCCAGTTCAGTTCTGTGTCCTCGGCGCTTTGACTCCTCCCTACCGTACCGTAGCACAGAATACCGGCAACAGTGTCTTCAGATGGAACATGGCATTGATCTCATTGTAATGTTTTTGGGTATGATGATGCGTGTTGTGACCTTGAGCAAGAACTGAGCAAGCCAAGTCATCGAAAGGCCTAAAGTTTAAAGATTCCTCCTGCACATTCTGGATTCACGTCTTTGCATTCTTTTTCGCAAGTGACCGCACCCAGTGTGCAAATACAACTTTGGCACCAACAAAACCCAGCCACACCGGCGCGTTGTCCCCGGCTTGCAACCTCCGCAGGCACTTTCGCGGAGGACCATCCTTACAGATGAGGTTTATGAACTCCTTCTCAGGTCGCCGTCGTCAGACGTAGACGCTCGTTGCTTCGTCGCTTGGACCGCTCGAGTTGGTCGAGCCGATGAGTTTGTCCTACCATCATCTGTGGAAGATGACCTTACCTCAGCCAATGGTCGACGAGCTTCTATGTACATACTTCGAAAGCAACATGTGACATGTCTGGATCATGTACTCCCCTTCATCCTTCCAACAAGTCATGGAAGTGAGACTCTCCTCTACTAGTCGTGGTGGCCAGTTCCACGTCAAGCTGATCAGCAGAAGCCTGGCGACAGGCTTGGGATCGCTGAACCAGCTGAGCCTGGTGCCAGACGAGGAGGAGTCGAACTCAACCGGTCGGCCTGGATGGTGGGCGACCGACCCGCGTGGGCCTCCAGGTCAACGGAAGAAAACTTGAAAAGGTCAAAGATGATCATGATGTTGAGAAAGATCTGGGAATCCATCCTTCCATCCATCCATCCATCCATCCATCGTTGCTGGGAATGGGATATACTATGTTAATCTGCGTGGTACCCCGGGTACCTTTTTCGCCCACGAGCTGAAAAGGAATCTCATGAAGTAGACGAACCCTCCATCCTCCCCTTTGAGCTGATAGAAGAACATCCGTGAACGAAGCACGAACGGGCACTGAATGAAACGTGTCCTGTAAGCTCAAAAGGCCAGTAGCTGATCAACCTGCTTGCCATCATGTCGACGACTAGATGTAGACTCTGGATTATATAATAACCCCCCATTTGATTTGAACAACCTGTTTTACATATGGCGGGTTTATATATTGATCAAGAGTCTACATTAGATGGCATTCTTCAGGAAACATCCATCCATAAATTGTAATAGTCATCCAATATCATCCATGTAATTCATTGCACTCTCGGAACTGGACACCTAAAGGATCCTGAACTTTTGCCACAGGAGCCTGAGGATCTTCCAGTCCAAGGGTTGCTAAGCTCCTCGGTGCCATAAGTGAGAAAGGGCTTGAGAGATGTTGGAGAGAAGGAGCCGACTTGCTTTTCAGGCGTGGAATCTGGAAGTGGACAACCACCTTCCATGACTGTGATGACTCTTTGAGGGAGTGTCTACTGCATGGTGGATGTTTCTTCAGGTCCCTTCGTTTATCGATGTTCATCGACCTGCTCGGCGTCGGTCCCGTTTGAAGAGTTGAGAGCGACGGAAGCCTTGGCGCATCTGCACTCGACCCGAGAGTCCGTTTACAGAGACCCTTGTGTCTTGGGTGAAGCCACTTGGGTCTTCTTTGAAGTTCGCCCTGAAGTGTCAGGAACTTAAGATCTGAAAACCGCCTTCTGGCCTGAATCTCCATTCGAAGGGTCCCTAAAGACATCTATAAAGACTTTTGTTGAACATCCTCAGTTGAGTGGGGCACACCCTGTCTGAAGGGTTGTTGCATCAGATATCATTTGATAATGTTTTATATCATGTTTAAACTTTATCCACGTGTGTAACCGTGTGTATGTGTGTGACTTTGTTGGGACAAGCCCCCCAAGATGTACCTAGGACTATCCCAAGCGATCACCTGTTTGACTACGCGACTAGCTTGACTTATACAGCTAGTCGATTTGTGATACTGAGCAGAACGTCGAAGGCCGCTTCGACACCAGCACCTTCGGGTCACCAGCACCTTGCGGATCTCCAGATGGAACACCCGAAGCTTCAGGAGTCACAAATGGCAGGAGTCACAGAGCTCGGGGTGTTGTTGAGTCCCGGGGCCGTGGATGGGCACCCCGACTTCCTCCGTTCGTTCGGCACCCCGACACGTCCGTTCGAGCACGACCTAGGCCGTACACGTGCGTGGTCCTCGAGTGCGGTGGATAAGCCTCCTGGTGGAACTGTGGGCGGAACCGGGCAGTCGGCGGTGAAGGCAAGGTCATGAGTCGTTAGGCTTCCAGTCAAGACTTCCACTGATTAAGGAGCAGTTCTTAAGAATAATACGTATTGATGCTTTCTTAAGACTTCCCCAATCCACATAAATGCCGTGGATGCGTTTTTGCCTGCGGGGATTTTTGGGGTCTCGCTCCTCAAGTGTTCTTCCAGCGAGTTGAATTTCTCCCGGAGTGGTTGGTCAGCTTTCGCCTGATACATCTACTTGGCATTCAATCGTTGAGCACCCTTAAAATCGTTTTAAACCAGCGTGCACTGTTCATGTGAGACACATGTTTCCACATTATTGAGGCATGCGGCATGTGTCAGGGGCGCTCTGGAACTCAAGTCTCCACCCTTCAAACTCTTTGATGGTGGTCCTGTCCAGCTGATGGCCAGTCACACCCCGGTAGCTTGGAGCTCCCCGGTGCCCCCAGGATGTGCCACCACCCAGGGCTTCAGTCCGAGAAGACCAGGCTGTTCCGGGAGCTGCAATGGCATTCGGGCAGATAGAAGATGATCAAAGCTCCCAGGCTCCAGGTGTTCACAGGTCTCTTGGGAATGAGAAAGGCTTATTATTTGCACCAAGAGAAGACCAGAACTTTGGCTTGAGCATGCTGTAGGTGACTATTCATAACATACTGTATATGATGTGTATATTTGAAGGTGATTGTATGTACTAGCGTGATATCATAACTACATTAATTAAGTTACTACAACTACACGTTTTCTTTGTGTTTGAATAAGCTGTGCAGGATCAATCCCCTGGCGCACACGGGCCCCGCGCCGGGTAGCCCAGGGCAGTCGCCTTTACCCTGTTGGACATCTTCCTCGGGGATATTCGAGCTAAGTTCTCAAGATTGGCTAAGATATTGCCCCGCAAGCCGCTGAAGACATTCCATCTTCCAATCTTTGGGGGAATTTGAGTCTTCGAGCATATTTGGGCATTGGCTAAGTTCTCAAGATTCAGGCATCCAGACGCTCAACGAGCATGGAATCGTAAGCCGGGAAGCGATGGTGGCCCCTGAATTGAATGATCGATGAAAACGCGCGGATTGCTTTGCTCTCGCCCTTTTCTGAGTCGTTGAGGCTCCTGGAACGATTGGTTCTCTCAGGGGTACATGTGCAGAACCAGGTCTTTCTTATCAATAAATTTGCGGACATGTCGGAGGTCAAGCCACCCAAGACCAATTCCCAGGAGCGGCATATCGAACAAATCACATATATACAGACACACGTCCCGAGACCAATTCCCCCAAAGGGACAGTGACATGATATGCAGACTTGGATTGGAACATGTTTCGAGGAGGCAGCACTTCGGTTTGCACAAAGTCCTGCTGCCACTGGCAGCCGCAAACACTGATGAAATATGATGAAATCATATGAAATCATATGAAATCATACTAATATTGTTTGTGAGACTGTTTGTCACGAACAATTCGTCAGCCCAATCCCTTGCATCTAAATGCTTAAGCCGGCCTTAAGCGTTTCACCTGAGGCCTTTACCATGGGTCGGGCGTCCCAGATCACCGAGCTGGACGTCGAAAGAATCCCATCTTTTCAAGCTGGGACATGTCCCTAACCAGCTGCTTCCAAGTGACTCTTTTTGGAGACCCTAAGTCTAAGCGACCTTTTTGCAGGCCTAAGTGACCTCACACCAAAGGATCAAAAGGTGACTTGGAAGATGGGAACTTGTAGCGTTTGTACGAAAATGGGGGTTGTGAGTGGGAGCTGCTGACTTGGCTCCTATTCGCATCACATGATGGTGCTGTGGTCGTCACATGCTTGACCCATGAAGTCTAACCTGATGGTGCTTCCTGATTACTTTCGGTGTTCTTTTTCATCTCGAACACCAGCGATGAGCTGCCCTGAAATCAACGATTTTGGTATATTTTGGGCAGTTGTTCGAATCAGCCCCTCAACCCAGCCGGAGCTCAGTCGTCAGATCCGTTGGAGGCGCCCTTGGAATTGGACTTTGTCTCCGGCCCTTGCATGGGTCAGAGGAGCGCAACGAGGGGGAGATGGACTGAGGGCAGAGAGGGCAGGCAGCTGCAGTTTGGCTGAAGATGTGATGGTACCACCATCGGCACACGGAACAGATAGGTGGACAAATCAATCAAGAACTGGGGAGTATGAACTGCACCAACCTATATAATCATGGTTCTGGGTGCCGACTGAAGACGGTGACTTTCACTTGATTTTTTGGCTGCCCCAACCACCCGACCTGTCGGCGGCGGGCGCCAGGATTTCGGTCACAGAGAAGGTGTGCACCATCGGAAGGGCTGATTCTTGCACGATCCAGGCCCGGCTGAAACGAAGTCAAGCCAACCGCTGCACACTGTGTGCAGAGATGGTGGGAAAGAAGATATACATGTGCATGCATGCATGCTGCCTCTCAGTGCAGCATAGTCTAATTGGTGACGTCTGGATTCAGCAGGTTAGGCTGATGCTTTTGCTGCATCAGGGCTTCAAGATGGGGAGAACTGGTTTGTAGGCGTCCATTTGCAGTGCCTGCTTGTGTTTGTGATATGCTTCGCAAATACAAATGCAGTCTCGGACCCAGGCGGCACCAGAGAAACGGATAAACCCAGCAAGTCATCCAGTGCTGGTTGCAGTTTTGTTTGTTGATGGTTTTGTTTCAGGTCGAGGCACATTCTTTGGGGCCTTGTTTCCATAACACGGCAGTCGTTGGTTCAGAATGTTTGAGACTGTCCCATTTTCATCCGATTTGTCCCCCCCCAATGAGCATGGATCCCACACCATTGGCCCTTGGCTCTCTTCGTTTGGTCATTCCACTTCGTTCTCGCACTGAGATCAGTGACCCGATGTTGGCCAATGTCTCGCGGACACATTGCATGATACGGAACGATGGTCACAGCACCATGGGCCGCACCAAGGGGCCGGTTAAAAACCGCCGGGACAGGCGTCGATAGAGAGCCGAATGCCCAACATGTTCTGGTCATTATGGGCAAAGAAGCATGCAAAAGCCGTAAAGTTCAGTTTTGCTTGTTCCAATTACATAGTTTTACCGTACATTTTTGGTTTTACTGTAGCCTGTAATGTAATGATGACCCAAAAAGATTGTCATTCAAAAGAGTATGGCAGGCCTACGTGGAGCAAAACCGTACTTTTTTTCAAACTTGTTCAACAAAGGTCGTAAATGGCCGTGATTAGCAACTCTCACACAAGTGGCTCCAGACAATCAACTCCGTAATGATCGAAAAACCATGCCCATTTTGCCGAAAACAGGGGAAAAGGTCCAGAAAAAGCCTGAACATGGACCTCACTTCATGTTTCTCCAAAGGAATGAGTGTATTTAGGTGCTGAGTAGTGGGTGACTTGCTTGAGTATTGATGTTAGTGCTGTATTCATATTGTTTTTTTTCCTTGTTTGGTAGGGCACAGTTGGATACAAACAACACTGAAACCATCGCATTCTGGAAGGGACATACCGTTTTCCGGGCTCTACTTTGATGCATTCATGGCAGCAAATCAAAGCAAATCAGGCAAAGAAGATGGACTCATAACAGTTTATATTATAGGCTCCCTGAATCGCCTCTTCAGCCGCCTTCGACCGCTGGAATGGTGAACCAATGGACCTTGGGACCGTACCGGGGCCGGTGGCCCCTGGATGGCTTACCCACCCAGGCACCAAGATCATGGACAACAACTCGACCAATGGTACCTGGAAACGCCTTTCCTGTGTCGGGCACCTAGATAGGGGAATCCAAGAATAGGGTTGGATGGTGGGTGTTAATGGGGTGCCTGAACTCGATCTTTGCTTTTGTGTTGGCATGAGGCTCGTTCAAGAGATGCGGCTGTAGTTCGAGGTTTTATCGTCAGGCTTTTGCTCTTTCAAACCTCACATTTGTCTACAACATGGCCCGATGGACATGGTCATGGATGGCATCAGGCCTTGAATCGGCAAGGCTTGTCCAGTGGCCAAATTGGTAGGTTTTCCTTCGAACCCCCAAGTCCACATCTTGGCCATGGTTGGTTTCTAGTGGACCAATCAATGAGCATCGGTCTGAAGACAGCAATCTCAAACAACATGACACGCACACAATTATCCCGGCAACAGGCCCCAAACAGTGTCTGCGAGGTTTGCAGCAAAAGGTCTAGAGATCTAGACGCATTGGGGTCCAGAGAGGTGATGGTGGTGATGAAGGTGCAGATCGTGTGGATGGTGGCGGTTGTGGTGAGTGAGTGACCTGTTGTGAGTGTGAGTGAAAGTGAGAGTGGGTGAGTGGGTGAGTGAGAGTGTGTGAGTATGAGTGAGAGTGAGTACCACAACGAGAGCGCAGTCGCTAGAAGCAGCCGCCGCCGGCACCCAGATGTCGCAAGCCTGCGCAGTCGAAATGCATATCAACGGTTTCGAGAGGCATGAATGTACTGTAAATAGCAGCGAATTAGCCGGTCACGCCCGCGCGCCCCTTCGATCTAAGCACAGCTGCTTAACTGCTTAACTACTGGGAAAAAAGTGAACTGACTGAATGAAGTATTGTAAGGGCTCCGCCCGGGTGCCGCCGACCCCTTTTCATCTCGAGGGTTTGGCGGTTGAACCTTGACAACTTCCTGGGATTCAACAGCGAGACTTGGATGGGCTTCACACCAATGCTGGCATTCAACCAGCTGCCGAG